TTTTGAGACAGGGCCTTGCTAAGTTGCTGAGGCTGGCCTCGAACTTGTCCTTCCGCACCAACCTTCCTAGTCACTGGGATTATACACATGCACCGCTGTGCCCAGCTGATTTTATTTACTTTCTTGAGACTACCTGGACCCTCCAACCTCTCTGAATATCAGTAGTTACATAATTTCTGCTCTAGTTAACCACGCTCCTTACATTAAGTTGTCTGTATACTTTGCATTAATTATTTCAAAGTTTGTTTGCCACATGCAGCAGATTAATCTCTGAAGTCCAGGTTTCACTCCTTTTGCCTATGTTCATACATCCATGAAGGAGGTTGGGGGAAAATGTTTGGTTCCACTTACTTAGCATAGCCTGTACAATTCCACATGCCTACTAAATCCAGATTTATGGTATGATTAATGAAGTCAGCCATCTGCATGCTTTTAATATAATATAAACACCTCGTTTAATTATCACATATATAGGAATTTTCTTCACACTCACAAAAAATTTACCTTCTATTATTCTTGAACCATATTGTTCTTTCAGTTTTACCCTTGCCTTGATAGCTACAAGATGTAGTCTACTTTTCTTTTACTTCTATGTTGAGAAAAATAGCAGGACCTCAAAAAACTTCAGAAATGGTAATTTAATACCTGATTCCAACATCAGGAAAAAAAAAATTAAATGCATGTTGTGGCAATATTATTAATGTGTAACAAGTGTTGTGTAAAATAATGAATTTTGGGGCTGGGTCTGTAGCTCAGTAGCAGAGCACTTGCCTCTCACATGTGAGAATTGGTTCCATCCTCAGCACCACATAAAAATAAACAAATAAAATAAAAGCATGCAGTTCATCTATAACTACAAAAAAAAATTGAAAAGAAATATAATGAATTTAAAACTTTTATTTTTAAGACAAAGACTATCGTTTTTAAAGTCAAACTTTTCAGCTATATAACTTTTATCAGGAATAATTAGCCCAGAGTGTTTTGAAGATTATCATCTTAATAAAATTTTGTTCCAGGTGGTTGTGTTCATTAAGAAGGGCTAATTAAATATTGTACATAAATTAATTGAGTGAAAATGGACTTCTGAAGGAACTGACTCTTCTAAAACTAATTTGCTTATAAGACTGTTTGCTGGAGTCGGAAGCACATGAAGGAGGCAATAAGCAAAAGAAAGTAACTCTATTGAATTTTTATTTGCCTATGTTTTCTAACAAATGTCGCTATGTGTGGCCTTTTTCATCCAAAGATCTGAAATCACAAGTTAAATCAAGGCAGATATGCACTAAGATACACAAAAGGAGTGGCTGATGAGTAAGCAACATTGATCTTCCAGCTTTGATCACAGTGGTATTGTTGGTGCCTATCACAGTAGCTGATATGAGTCCATATCTACAAATACTTGTCAAGTATATGAAAGATATCATTCTAACTTGGCTGATTTATACTGCCTATTCTAATTACCAGGAAGAAAAATCAGAAAAGAAAAATACCTAATGTTCTCATTCTGTCCTGACCAATCAATGCTTGTAATGACCATCATTAAAAGTTAAGAGTAGGAACCTGTGAATATGGAAAGTTGAATTATAGAAAAGAAAGTCATTCTTTTGTTCTAGTGCATTTAGTATACAAGGAAAAAAAGATATGGCAGGGCATCATTCTGTTCAACCAGGTATGGATGACTGGATTAGTGGAGGAGGGAAAAGTTTAAGAACTACCCAAGTGGAAGCCAACAAGATCTGTAAGAGTCAGATCTGGTCAGTCCCATGCTTGGGTGAACTAGAGTCCAGAAAAATATTGTAAAGCCTGGAAAGAGAATCGAGTCCTAGTGTGGAAAATATCAGGAGTTGCACTGAGAATGCTAAAATCAAAATCACTGAATAAAGATTATTCCTTAACTTCCATGGTTAAAGATATACTTTGGAAAGAACCAGATTTTTATCAATAGGCTCTAGTAAAGGCATGGATATGAACAATATTATATACAATGGTTGGCATATGAAATGAAGCAACTGATTTGTATTATATTGGGAACATAAATTTATAGTAACATGTATATATTTACACATTCACATTATCTATGAAATTTTATGTGCCTCACATTTTATATCTCCTTTCATTGTTTTCCTTGATATGCAGGAATTGATATATTCTGTGGATGCTCTTGTCATTCAGATATTGTCCTGACTGTAATTGCTTTTCTCTTTTCAGCCCCTGGAGGAACACGCATAGATGATGGTGACAAGACTAAGATGACCAACCACTGTGTGTTTTCAGCAAATGAAGATCATGAAACCATCCGAAACTATGCTCAGGTAGAATCTGGCCTTGAGAGGTTGTCATTGTGTTAGAAGAGAAGCATTTGAACAGCATTGAGGAAAACAAAACTCTATAGCCCACTTTTCAAAATAGGGATGCTAGGTAACTTTTAAACATGAAATAATACCCAATTGCATTCATCATAACACAATAGGCAGTAAAAGTACAATAAGATACCATTTTGTTTACCTTTCACCTTTAAGAAACATGGCAAACCAGATGCCCACAGCCATTGCTGATGGGAATGAAAATTGGTCCAATCTTTGGGGAAAACCATTTTGCACTATCTTACAAAACTAAAACTTCATATTTCCTCTGACCCAGCAGTTTCACTTCTGGTTCTTTGTCTTGCAACTCTGCTTGCACTGTGTGAAATGACTTGGTGACGGTCACATAGTATTGCTTATTGTAAAATCAAAGGATGAAAACAACATAAAAGTCAACAGGGGACTATGCAAATAAAATTTGGTAATTCACATTATAAAATACTATGTAGCCATTAGAAAGAGATAAGAAGATACTTGTAGTGTATAAAACCAATAAAAGATTCATATCTGGGTTAAGAACTGCAAATCAGAAAGAAAAGATAAGCAATCAATTAGGAAAAGATACATACTGGTATGTCAAAGAAAAGGAATCACAATTTCCCTAAAATATATGAAAGCATGTCCGAACTCATTGGTATGTAGACGTTTTCATTAAAACCATGAGTTATCATTTTGCATGCATTAGCTTGGTAAAAAATTAAGAAATCATTAGTTCTAGTAAGGTCAGGAAGTGGCAGGGCTGTAAAAAGGACCAACCTAATAGATATTACCTTATAAAGCTAAACGTAGGTGCATTGCCGCTATCTAGCTTAGGGCTGGCATACTTATTTTTGGATTCTATTACTGATCCTTCTTAAAAGGCAGTTGTTGATTCCAGCTAAGCTCTTAGGACAAGTCCCAGGGCAACAAGTCCTCTAGTTATACAATTTCAGTATACAAGATGGAAAAAGCCATGGGAATTAACCGTGGCTAAGTGGTCAAACTTAAGATGTTAGAGAGTATGCCTTTACTCCAGTTATTAAAATGGAAAAGGCATGCTAAGCCAAGTGATTTGGGATATGTGGCCATTAATAATTTAAATTTTGTGAAATTATTTTAACCACCACTATTTTAGCAAAGATATATTTTCACTTTTTATATTTTAAAAATGTACAACCAATAAAAACAAAGGAAATATTTTTTAAATAGAGCAAAGAATTGAACACACAGGATTGAATGGGTCAGACTCTAATCTGTCCTCTAAAAATCTGTTATTCTGCTGTGTAATGATTGTAAATGTCTTGAGAAGGTGTATCCTGAAGTAAATATACTCAATTCAAAAGCTGGTTCTTCTAAATGTCCCACTCATCTGAATAAGGGTAGTTCACAATGGATCACAGTTTCTAAGTGCATATTTCTTCTCTGATACTTAGTAGTTGTTTTCAGCTCTGCCAAGTCATGATAAATGGCTCTTACCTTCTCCATAGAATTTTTTCAGGTTCAAATTAATGCAAATAAAAGTTGCATTATTCATTATTTTAAGTCTGATGAATGGAAAGATAAAGCCTAGAAGAAAATTTAGTATAGCCATTTCCCAAAACATAAAAAGACAATGAGTTTAGTCTCTTCATTATGTATACAGAAGATGGTTTCTTTTTGCTAATGATTTTATTTTGCATGTGGAGTACGGATATTTGAAGAAACACCCTTTCACTTGTCATTTGAGTTTTTAAATTATTATGTATTTACAGATTGACCAGACTGGTCAATGGAAGGCTCAAGCAGAGAGAAGTTAAATGGAGGGGAATATCTGAATGGAGCCTAGTCTTTTAAGCTGTTAACTCATTGGAGAATGCTTTTTTGTTTGGTTTTGGTTTTAATGATAAATTTTGCTTTCTTGTAGACATTTACCTATGCAAATATAGAGTATCATTCTTAAAGGAAATTATTTTTCATATTAATAATCATGTTAAGAAATATGTGAGCACTAGTAGAAGTTGGAAATCAAATTTTGTAGGGCTTTAATACAATTTCTTTCTTTTTTTTCCTTACTGATATCATCAATTTCCTGTGGGGTCACTAGTCTTTACCCCATAAAGGACAACCATAATTTTCACTCTTGAACTCCATCTTAACTATATTAATAACTGCAGCAAAAGTTGTAAGAGTAGGCCATGCAGGTATAAGAGAAAGGAAATAGATTCTGAAAACATTTCCACGGTTTTTAAAAATTAAGAATATTTACAAGATCCCTCCTTAAATAAAAACATTTCCACTGATAAAACAGTTTAGAATCTGACTGATATAGTGGCAAACCCTGTTTCAGAATTCTAACTGGATTGTAGGAACCAATAATCCTTTACTGCCAGTAAATTATAACTTTTTTTTTGCTTGTCTATAAACATGTTTTGTTGTCCATCTGGAGAGCGATCTGCCCTGGGCTCTGTTTTCCCCCTCAGCATGTCATTATCTAAGGGTTGGTACCTCTGACCCCTTCTTTCAGCTCTTCTCAATCACTGCCTCCCAAAGATGAAAACCTCTACTCATGGGCTGGGAATATAGCTCAGTTGGTAGAGTGCTTGATTCACATATACAAGGCTCTGGGTTCAATCCCCAGCAATACACACACACACACACACACACACACACACACACACACATACATTCATTTCATTTTCATCAACATTAATTTTGGTTTCTCTACCTGTTCTTCTCTTGAGTAGATCTATTTTATCCTGCATGTGCATTTTGATCCTCTTTTCCCTTAGGTCATTGTAATGCATTTGTAGTTCTCATATCACGCATGAGCATGTTTAACCACTATTATTTGATGATGATGATGATGATAATGATTAGTCTATGGGGTAGTTTTGGTGAGTTTCTACACTTTTTTAAAAAATTGTTTACTATTTAATGGTTCTGTTTTATGTACAGGTCTTCAATAAACTCATCAGGAGATATAAGTATTTGGAAAAGGCATTTGAAGATGAAATGAAAAAGGTAACAAATCCAATATAATGCCTACCTATTTAAAGTGATGGAATGGAGAAGAACAAAAAATTTACACACACCATGGTAGCTAAAGTGCTGTGGGTATGATGAGTTTTAACAAACACTTGCTGAATAAATGATTCAGTATGACAGATCATTAGCTTATAGCTAGAGGAAGTAGTATGTGATTATCCTAGGCTTTCTTGATTGATATTTAGAACACTGTGCTTTGTTCAATACAAATAGTTTTACAGATTGTGATCTCTTATGTCGCAAAGCTTAAATGATGCGCAAGAAAAATAAATGCAATCATTTGTTACTTAATGAAGTGGATCTATTCTGAGAAATGTATCATTAGCTGATTTTGTGTTACGCAAACATCATAAAATGTACTTTCATAAACCCAGATAGTACAGCTTACTACATACTTAGGCTGTTATAATCTCCTGAGACCACCATCTTATTGCAGTCCATTATTGAGCAGAATGTTATGTAGTACATGACTATTTATCAAGGCAAGACTCAAGGTGATTAATTGCTTAAGGCCTGTGTAAGAGTGTAGCACAGCTACTAACACTCAGTAAAATTCTTTAATTTTTGAAAATGCAGTGCAGCAAAGGGGGTAAAATCACATCTTTGTTTATAGGTATAAATTCAGTGCTTTTTCTCTTCATTGAATGGCTGTAATATGAGGATATTCCTTATACCTGTGTTGTGGGAATAAATGAGATAATATAAGGTGATTAAAATAGTCATTGGCTTCTAATAAGATGCCAAATCAACAGTAGCACTTTTTTTGAAAAGTTGAGGTTTTTAGTAATTGCAACATGTTTCCTCCTCTAATTTGTAACTCCTTTATATTTACATTCAGCACTCAGTGTATTAAAATGCGGCTTTGTATGTTGCTGGGTCATTGTTTCAAAGTTTATATATCTGCCTAAACAAAGTAACCACATGTGAAAAAAAGTTACCATAACATTTACTTCTTTTCTATTTACCCCTGTTCAAAGTTGTCCCATGGGTAATATTGAGGAAGTTTTGTTAGTAAAATCATTTGAAAAAATAACAATCCATGAGCCTCCTTCCATTTATAAGAATTCTCCAGCATGGATATCTAAAGCTAAATGTATAAAGATGTTCATAACAACATTGAGAAGTTCACTGGTGAAGTCTCCATTCAGCCTATCTACACATTGGAGTACCATGCAGTCTTGTAAAGACTGAGTCATAGCTGTATTCATTGATTAAGGGGAAACATCCACCATAAATTAAGTGAAAAGAGAACAAACATTTAGTGACAGTTTTACCTTGGCCAAATTAGTTTCCTTGTTTCTTAGATGTCATTTCTGTAATTGCTAAGGATGGTGGCTATTTGTATTAGTCCATTTCTTGCTGACAATAACACAGATTGGGTGATTTGTAAGGAAAAGTTTATTTCAATTCATGGTTCTGGAGGTCTGCGGGCAGGCACTCCATCTGGTGATGATGGTCTTGCTGTCAGGGCTCCCAGATGGTGCAGGGCATCACATGGCAAGAGATGGGGAGTGTGTGTCTGTGTGTCTGTCTCCTGGTTTCTTCCTATCTTATGAAGCCACCGGGATTCAGTCACAGGGACTCTGCCCTAGTGACCTTCGCTAATCCTAATCACCTCCCTAAACCCCATCTCTACACTCCATAGTCAGATTAAGTTTCCACCCTCTTAATACCTCACAATGGGAATTAAATTTCAGCACCTGAGTCCTTGGGGGATGCTCAAACTACATACAAACTCTATCAGTGTTAGAGGCATAGATATACATCAAGCCATCGGAACATTTCTAGTTCACTCAGGGAGTTTTCACCTTTCCATATTATAGAAACTATGTGTGTGTACATGAGTGATTATTAGAATGTAGACATACATAAATGCATTGAAATACTTTATTGTCATGTATAACTAAAAAGAACAAATTTTTTTAAATATCTGTAAGGATACATCAAACTGTTTATGTTATTTCTAAGAGTAGAGTTAGAGGGTATTTTTCACATCTTTATAGTCTTCTAAATTGATAATGTTCAAAAGCATATATTTTTAATATGAAAAAATTAAATGAGAAAGAAAATTGTCCACTACACTGCTAGCTGCTCTGAAAATAATAAGTACTCTATTTTTATAGTATTTGTTTTTAAGCCAGCTGTTATAAAACATATAATTGTAATGTTGACCTATACAGTTAAGCAATGTGATTATTTATTTCCAAGGATTTATGATTAAATATATTTTTTAATGAATGAGTATACTAATGTGCTTAAAGAAATAGCATTGAAATTTTATTTTGGAAGTTCTTATTTTTGTTAGTTCTTTCCCACTACTCCTTTCCTGGTGTTTTGGGAGCTTTAATCTTTGAAATTCTCATTTTGTCTCTCCTGGCATTTAGATGTTGACTTCTGTTTGTTGAGAATTGAAAGGGTATAGACTGAAACTCAAATGGACTGATTTCACTCTAGAACTGTTCCTTATTCACAATGTTAATATTTAGATAGTTACATAGCTCCCTGCAATATATACTAATCCTCCAACTGTTGGGGAAAGTCAGTTACTGTTGTTCTGTCAGCCAGGGAAGAACTGAGTCTTAAGCACGTGTGCACTTGGTGTATATTGGTGCCAGTGACTTTTCACTGGTGCTAAGTGTTGGAGAATCAGCAAGTGATAGTTGCCCCTGGAGAATCTCAGTGCTGTGCTGGAGAAGTGATGAGATGATGGAAAAAATGTTGGGGCATATTCAAAGCACAAAGCAGAGAAGTATTAGAGAAAAGGAGGGCTTCTCACCAGGCTGACTACTCTTAAAACTCAAAATGGGAGTGGGGTTATAATCCCTTCTCTTTTGTGTTTCAAACTTTCTAGAGTCAACTTTTATTCAGTTTCACTATTCTTAGGGCAAGAGAATTAGAGCTTGAGCCCTTCTGGGACTCAATATCTTTGCCCCCTCAAATTGCTCTTTCCAGCCCATGTCAGTTCTGTTTAGAACTTTGACCTGATATACTCCAGTACTTCCTCACTAACACTGGTAGTAGTAAGGAATATCAAGAACTTAGCCATTTTCTCCCCTCAACAGTTTTGCTTTGAAGACTGTTGTATATTGTAAGCTCAGAAAAGTGTAAATTGGCTGTGAAATGCTTCACATGAGCCAGGCATGGTAGCTCATGCCTGTAATTCCATTGACATTGGAAGCAAAGACAGGAGAATTGCAAGTTTGAAGCCACCTGGGCATCTTAGCAAGATCCTGTCTCAACAAATTTTTTTTAAAGAAATCTTTTTTTTTTTTTTTTTTTTTAAGCATTTATTTTTATGGGGTGCTGAGGATTGAACTCAGTATCTCACATGTGCTAGGCAAGCGCTCAGCCACTGAGCCATGACTCCAGCCCCCTCAAGATTTTTTACAAAGGACTGGGGATGTAACTCAGTGATAGAGTAGCACTGAGTTCAATCCCCAGTACTGCAGAAAGTACCACACAAACCTTGCACCTTGACTTCTTTTCTGGTGTTTTTTTTTTTTTTTCCCCCACAAAAATTCAGTTCTTTCCCAAAGAAAATGGATATATATAACAGGTGGAAGAAGCAGTGACCCAAAGAAGTGAAAAAATGAGAAAGCCAATGTATGTCAGAAAACATTCTGTTCATTGTGTATACTTACCCTTTTTCATGTTTGTAACCAAATGTAAATTATTTATCTGTATACATTGTTCTTACAATATCTTTTCCTTTTCATGAATATTTACAGAGGTGTGTGGATGAGCTTAGAGGAAGGGAACTAATCTAATAGCATTGCTTTCCATAGCATCTATTCATAACTGAGCATGTGTGTCGCCAAGGTATAGCAGCATTGTGCTACATGTGACATACTATTGTGCACCATGAATGTACATTCTAGTTGCTACTCTCCTAATTTACTGTTATGCTTTATAGACACGGTTTCTTTTGTTTGATCCACAGCTTCTCCTCTTCCTTAAAGCCTTTTCCGAAACAGAGCAGACAAAGTTGGCGATGTTGTCTGGGATCCTGCTGGGCAATGGCACCCTTCCTGCCACCATCCTCACCAGTCTGTTCACTGACAGCTTAGTCAAAGAAGGTAATCATACTCAGGTTTTCTCACCTGTCGGGTGTAAAAAGGAAAGAAAAACTATAAACAGCACCAGTGCCTCTTTTTAGTGTCCTAAGTGCTTGTCCTCAGAATGTGTGTGTGTGAATGTTGCATATGTACATTATAGAAAATTAGAGGAAAAAAATACACCTGTACAAAGGCATGTAAAGACTAATAGCAAACTAAACTCTTAGGCATAAGAATAAATATCTAGAGACCCTGAAATTGATCAGGTCCAAACCAATTTTCTCCACTAAGACTCTTCTGGCATGCTTTGTTGGGATAGTAGTTCATTGTGCCACAGCACTTTGTGCTTTGTAGGACTTTTAACCTTTTTGACCTTAGACACAAAATGCCAGCTGATAGCACCTACTCACATTTGTTATAAACAACAAAAAATACTGCATCGCATTTAAATGTTCCCCAAATAGGGCCACTCTTGTAAACCAGTTCCTCTCCAAGATCTGGGGAAACATTCTCAAGTGTTCATTTTGATCACATTTTTAAGATATTCATTGTCTTAAAGACAATGACCACTTTTAGAAAGAAGTTGAGACTGTTCCGTCAGAAAGAGGCTTGTCTTAATTTTAAGGCATTAAAATTTGATGGGAATGCACACAATGATTTGGTTATAGAATAAAACAAATGTGGGCTGTTTTCTTGTAGGAGGATAATGATATTCAAATTAATGCAACATGAAACACAGTTATTTTTCCTTAAAAATATATTAAAAGAGCTTTTGTGAGAACATCTGTTTCTTTGGAGAATTTAAAAAGTTTTTCTCCTAAAAATACGAAGTCCCAGACCCATTCATGCCCATAGTAAAAGGGGTTATAGTTTTCTTTTAGCTGGGGGGGGGGGGGGGAGTAAATCAAGAATCAAATGGTATTATTTAAGGACTCTATAATGTTTGGCTTACAGTAGCTCAGATTTATGATAATTCAGATTATCCAGATTCTGTAATTATTGTTAGTATGTTGTTAATGTTAGGACATTAGAAAGTGTTCTCCTGAAGAGAGTTCATGATACCTCACACATCTTATTTAGTTATTAGCCATTTTACATGGAAAAATGAGATGGAATTTAAACCTTGAACATTAATGAAATTAAATTACCCTAGCCATCATACCAATGCCTTTCTAGTTAACATTAAAAACCTAAGTGATGTCTGTTACTTCCTTTGAAACATCTAGAATATTAATAGTTGTAGAATCTAGATGGTGTGGATATGAGTATACATTGTTCAATTTGTCCAACTTTTCTGTAGCTTTGAAATTTTTTATAATAAAATGTTGAGAGGACAGAATGTGTTTGCTATGGAAGGAAAATAGTGACTTTGTCATGGTTTTTCCTTTTACACGACCATTTTTAGAAACTCAGGTTTTAAATTCTTGCTTCTTAATTAGGAAAGGATTAAGAAATTCTTTTTTTTTTTTTTTTGCCCAGAAAATGTATCCAGCAAATGCTAAGGGGCAGGGCTACTCCACTCATTAGAAGAGTAACTATAAGGTTTAAATCTAGTTTTAAAACTCTTAGCTTCCAGTATACTTTTTTTTTTTTTAACCTATGAGACAGATTCCAGCCTTGTGCTAATGTTATTTAATTATATAAATTTTATATCGATTTTATAAACTAATAATGTTTAAAATCCCTGTTAATAAATTTTTATCTTTAAATTCAACAATTTCATAATGCATGTTTGATTGTCATTGCCAAATTTTTTACTTTGTCCCTCTGTTGATTCAAGTGAAAAAAATCAAGTAAAGTTGGTATCTATATAAATAAATGATAAATCATTTGAATGCTTTTACCTGCAAGTAACAGGATGTCCTGCACCACATTGTTACATCAGGATATTTATTTCTTATATAATGACATAAATGTAGGTCAGACTTTAGAATGAACAGCAATATGGTTCCCCCATTACCAGGCAGAGCGTCAATTCCAGGGATGGTTGCCCTAGTCATTGTAGGATGTCTGCTAGTACATTCTGGTACATGCTTCCTTGTTCAGGTTCAGTAGAAGGGCACATCTCTTGAACACAAGGTCATTTATCTTTCCATAAGCTTATAGGTCACATTACCATTGTGGGCCCAATATCAGTTGCCAAGGGGATGGTGTAGGTTGGTGCCTTAAGGCTGAGATCACTACTTTACTCATGCATGAGAGGTGGTGCCAGGACTTAGACTAACCAAAGTTACCCGGCCTGAACAAAGGGAGAATTCTCTTAAAAAGGAGGTAAGGAGAAGAGAGGCTGCTTGGGCCACCACAAAAGGTGAAAGCATCAATTCAGGAAAAATCAGTTACATATTTCAACTGCATCATAATTCCTCAAAAAAAATGCAACATAAGTTTAGAAATTTAAAATGTTTTTAGAAGAGCTAACTCCTAGTTATCAGATTATTTATATTTGTAAATAAAATAGTATAAATGTAGATACATGATCATGTGGTTTCCTGATCGAAATAACTAAATAATTTGATAATTTTAAAAATCCATGTAAGTGTTTAATTTGAAAGAGCCTTGATATTTACATAGTCTGATTCAATTTTTTTTTTTTTTTACTTTTTTTTGATACTGGGGATTGAACTCAGGGCACTCGACCTCTAAGCCACATCCCCAGCCCTATTTTGTATTTTATTTAGATACAGGTTCTCTCTGAGTTGCTTAGCACCTCGATTTTGCTGAGGCTGACTTTGAACTTGCAATTCTGCTGCCTCAGCCTCTGTAGCCATTGGGAGTATAAGAATGTGCCCTACTCAAGAATACTTTTAAATGCCTTTTTTTTTTTTTTTAAGAGAAATATAAAGTAAATGATGCTATCATATTCATAACTATACTTTTATTAGTCATTAGTTTTCTTTTACTGGAAACCCTAATCAGGAAATTAGTTGCCATCTGTTGACAACTAATTTTTGCCTCAGAATCACTATTGTGGGGCTGGAGGTGTAGCTTAGTGATGATAGAGCACCTGCCTACCATTCAAAAGGCCTTGGGTTCGATCCCTAGTACTGCAAAAGAAAAATAAATAAATAAAAAAGACTACATTGTTAACATGAAATATTGATGAAACTACAGAATGAAGTAGATGCAGAACCCCTGAGAATTCTGCCTTTGAATATATTTTGACCAAAGTAAAAATAAAATACATAAACCAGGCTGGAATCAGGCTGTCCAACTTTGAAAAAAATATTTTAACTGCTTTCATATGAAAATGTTCTGTTTATTGTAATGAAAAGAGAACTGTGTGTGCAGATGAATTCTTTTTTTTTTTTTTTTTCTTGGTACCAAATCAACTCGTTTAGTTATTTACTTATTTCAGGAAACTGAGTAAGAAATGTTGCATCATGCATCATCACAAATGGTTTTACTTATACAGAGAATGAAATTCTCTTGTTTTCTTTTTTTAAACAGGCATTGCAGCCTCATTTGCTGTCAAGCTTTTCAAAGCCTGGATGGCAGAAAAAGACACCAACTCTGTTACCTCTTCCTTGAGAAAAGCCAACTTAGACAAGAGGCTGCTTGTGAGTACTTCCATCAGGGGTCGTGTGCAGGATGCTGCCGTCAGGACTGGGGCTGGCCCACAGTGTCACAAAAGACACAGATGCCTGAGCCTCACCTGAATTGGAATCACGTTCCTTTATTTCTGTATAACTGGCAAATTTATTTTCATCATTTCAGGGTGAATAACAGCCTGATAAGTTTAAAGGATCAGGGATGTAGACTTTTAGACTTGTAAGTTTGTTGACAGTGTTGACATTTTATTAGAATTAAGACTTTTTTTTCTCTAATCAATAACTTTATGGAAACTCTGGAAATACTTGATCTGTTAAAGAAAGTAAACAAGTTAATTTGAAGTTTCCATAGTCACAATTGTTTGATTGTGATTTTATTTCTCCATCTTCAAATTTTTCAAAGAAAATGATTTTGTCCTTCAAATTTCTATCTGCTCCCTATAATTTCTTTGTACTAAAAGCAACAGCTGTGTGGATGCAAAGATTTTTCCAAGTAGAATTGCTTTCTAAGGTGAAGTCTAAAATTGAGACACTCCTGCCATATTCTCTTGTCCTTTCTGTTTTTTTTCTTCCATTGTGCAGGGTCCTATGCAATGGATAATTCTAAAACTCTTTTCTTCAAGAAAACCTGAAAATGATTTTACATACAAGTCCTTGTACTTTCAATCACTTAAAATTCCGGATGTTTACCTTAAAGTAGCCTTAACTCTAAAGTCTTTGTATTATGGTAAAGAAGAAAAGGATTTTAGGTTCTGACTCATTTCTGCTAATGATAAGTTTTCATTCAGGGTATATTTCTTGAGTAATACTTTGGTGCTAAACATCATCCTAGAAACTGTGAAACCAGTAGAGAATAGTATCAAAAAGTTCCTCGCCTTCATGGAGCCTATTTTCAACTGTACTTAGGGCAAATCTCTGTAAATAGAAGCAAAAATCAAAAGATGAGTGAATATGTTGCTAGAAGTTCATATGAAGGGAGCGTATTTCTCACCCATGCGCCTGTGAGTTGTTTGTGGATTAGCTGTATCTTGTCTGGGCCCAGCTGGGCTCCATATGTCTTTTCATTCTGGAACCCAGACTAAAGGTTCCCCTCTAGGTCATTCTGTCCTCATGTCAACAACACAGGGACTGAACTGAACCCTCAAGTACATAAAACTTACCTTTTACTGGCCAAAGGAAATCACTTACAGGCTTGGCAATGAGTAGGAAAATCCAGTCCACTGATAGATTACTTCTGCACCCCTGCAGATAAAAAGCAAGGAGGGGAATCTCTTGATACTATTGAAAAATGTAGGTGGGTGATTGGAAACAAAGGTACAGTCTATTTCAACTTGTCAAAAAAGACTGTTACTTCATGTAAAAAAGAAAAAAATCCTTTTTGAAAACACATGTTATTAAGATGTTCTTACTAGATTTATATGTCTGTACATATTTTGGAAATGAGAAGCATGGGTGGTGGCTTCTACCAGATGTCCAGTAACATAAGCTGGTTGAGAACAGAGTAGCTGGCAGTGCACTAGAACTGTGCCTGCCTGGCATTTGCTGATTCAACACATGAATGAGGACCTAGAGGATCCAATTCATTTTCATGGTTTCATGAATCCATAGAACAAATTCTCTTTAACTCTTAGCCACTATATACTAGAAAACAGTTCAAGGAGCTGGAGATATTGAAAGGAAGCAAACAAATATACCTTCCTTTATGGAGCTTACATCCTATTTAGACTAAATAAGTAAAATATTGAAATAAAAGGTGACAAATGCTATGGAGAAAAATAATTAGAGAAAAGCTAAAGGGTGTCAAAATTTGAGATGCAATTTTCAGTACTTAGGGAGGCCAATATGGCAAGGTGACATTGTGCAAAGACTTGAAGAGATGAGTAAGTGAATTATAGGAATATTTCAAAGAAGACTATTCTGGAAAAAAGGGATAGAAAACGCATACTCCTTGAAACATGGAGTGTTAGGGTTAGCAATAGGAGAAGGTTGGTAAGGCTGAGAGTATAGATTAACTTAGAGAAGCAGCAGGCCATGTAACCAAGGGACTTGAGCTTTTATTCCTAGTCAGATGGAAGCTGTTGGCATTTTCCCTGAAGAATTGTGTGCTTAATATGATTGATTTCTCCTGCTGTCACTCTAATTGATGCATTGGGACTAGGCTCCAGAGCAAGGGCAGAAGCAGGAAGACCTAAATCTATGGATGAAATGGTGGAGATTTGTACAAAGGAAGGGTTTTTAACAAACATAGACCATGTTCTAAACCAAAGCATGGCATGGTGTGGTTTAGACTGTCTTTACCTCAGTTTAATCTGAATAATAATTTTCAGTATATCATGTAGCATTTATAATGACTTTGGATATGCTTCATAAATAAATCACAGGTGTTATATATGATAACATATTGCTCTGAACAAGGCTTTAGATCAAATTTTGTAGTTATACTCTCCCTAAGAATATCGAGTCCTATCACCAAGTAACGGAATAAGTATTGACTTTGGTGCCAACTGCTCTGACCTTAAATATTATTTCTAGCTGTAGAAATTGGGTTAAGCTTCTAAACCTTCTTGAGACTTAGCTTATCCTGCAGGAAAAATTCTACTTTACACAGTGATTATGAGAAAAATGCCAATATATCTTGAAACTCCATAAAATTAAATACTTCCCTCCCCTAAATTTGGAAGCTCTTAAGTGATAATTGAAATAATAGTGACAAAATTTCAGTCTTGTGAAATGTTTGCTTTAACATGAATGTGTGTTTGATAGCTGCTTCCACCAACTCTGTTCTGACATTTTGAAACATCTGACTCAAGGGAAATTATAGGATGAAAATATGGGGAATATTAAAAATTAAGCACTGGTATAGAAACCCTCTGGCTATGTTTCTATATGGGGTGGAAAAACCTATTGCACATCTCTCCACTGAGACTTATATTGGAGTCACATAGCCTTTGGTTATAGATGTAACAAATATAAAGTTTTGGGTCTTTTTTTTTTTTTAATACTCTGCAGCAGTTTGAATAACATGAGAGCTTTGAAAATTGCTTTAATTTCATAGTTGGGTGTTGGAATTCACATAGGATTAGATCATGACTAAGTGTTACTGAGATCCTGCCAAGCTTTGTAGGGTATAATGAAATGCAAGAAAATATGAGAGCAGCTATGTTATATTGCTCTTTTAAAAAAAAATCATTACAATTATGTAATAAACTGGAGAGTTAGTGGGAGACGGTTTAGATTAGCTCTGGCTGTGAACTTAATTGAGAATCGCCATTATTAGTAGACAATGACAAAATTCTCCATAGCTCCTGAGCTAGTATTTTAGAATAATAGCATTTTCTCAAAACAAGAATAAAGATCCTTAAGATAATGGTCAGTGTTGTTTCTCTAATATTCTCTCCAATGATTATATACAACATTACTAAAACTGACTTTTATCTAGTAATTGTTAAGGAAACAGTGTAAATATCTAATCATTTCAATAATTTTCTTTGTTTATCACAATTCAGATACTATTCAAAGTTATTGTCTTAACTGCATTTAGTTCAGCCAATTTTGTTCTGTATTTACAATTGGTTCTGTATTTACATACACTGTCATTAATTAAAATAAAACAAGAAGGAACTGATAGTTCAAAATGAATGAAACTATTGTATCTAGGTTGCTTAACATTCTCTTTATAAAATTGCTACATTTGAGAAAATACTTAGCTCAATAAATATACTAGAGATTTATTCTGGTTTTGGGGGAAGGAGCACTGGGATTAAACCCAGGGACTCTCTGCTACAAAGCTACACCCCAGCCTTTTTTTTTTTTTTAAACATAGAGTCTCACTAATTTACCCAGATGTGCCTTGAATTTGTGATCCTCCTGCCTCAGCTCTCAAAGTCACTGGGATTACAAGGATGTACCACCTTGCCCGGCTTAAGAAATGTCTTAAGCAGTATTTTAAAATGGAAATTTTGACCTTTATGCATATTGAAATTTAAATAGCTTGTTGTATAACAGTCTCTTTTCCTTTTCTTTCAGGAACTCTTTCCAGTAAACAGACAGAGTGTGGATCATTTTGCTAAATACTTCACTGATGCAGGTCTGAAGGAGCTTTCAGATTTCCTCCGAGTCCAGCAATCCCTGGGCACCAGGAAAGAACTGCAGAAAGAGCTCCAAGAGAGACTGTCTCAGGAATGCCCAATTAAGGAGGTGAGACACCATAGGCAGACACTGTCATGGTCAAAATAAATGAATGAAAGTCTGGAGGTGTCACTCAGTGGTAGAGTGCTTGATGAACATATGTGAGGCTCTAGTTCAATCCCCAACACCATACTGTCAAAAAATATATATATACAAATGAGAGGAATTATGTAGGTCATGTACCACAAGCTTTGCCTCCCTACTATTTACATGAGTTCAAAGTATTGATTCAGAATCCTCTATTTTAATACATTTTAGGGGGTATACGAAATTAATGTTTAGTTTACCTAAATGACTTATTTTGCCAGGCTGCTGTGATTATGAAGATATTTCATCTGATAAATGGATTGACTATTCATTCTTTGAATACCCTTTTATATGATGGTTTTCTGTTTTATAGTAGATTTTCTAACCTGGTTAAGCATTTGATTAGTGTTTGGAATCAATACATGATATTTTGTGCATCACTGGGTATGAATATGTATGGTTTATTTATTTAGTTAGTGGTGCCAGGGATTGAACCCAGGGCCTCACACATGGTAGGCAAATGCACTGTAGTCTAAACCCTAGGCTTTATATTTGAAGGAAAAAAAGACAAGTTGGACTAATTTCTTGTTTGATCTCATTCATAATGGCTGTGTATCTCTATAATGGAGAAGTTGAAGAGTTCTTCCTTTTCCCACTTACTCCCAAATCCCTACCACCCTCTACCATGCTATAAGTCCTACAGAGCTCCTTATGTGATTGAGGGGTGGAAAATTTCAGATTGATACTCTCCAGCAGGTGGAGAGCTATTGGAAAATGAATATTATTAGCTCATGGCAGAAAGTCATAATTTTCCATGTAAGGGAAAAAAAAGTTAAAACAAAAAACACTGTAACACTTTTAGATGCAGGGATGTCTCCCTTTTTTGTGGGCTCCCCGCCCCCTCCCCCTCCCTAGGCAGCTTGGGGACTGGAATTACCTGGCCACTTCTGCTCTCGCTGTTCAACCCACTGATGCTATTTCTGCAATCTAGGATGGAAATAAAGAGAGTGCTATCTTTTCACTTAAAAAAAGAAAGAGAAGAAAAAGGTTGTACTAATTCTCACAAAGTATTATACTTGATGTGATATGATTTTTAATCACATCTAAAATCCTAATCTCAATTTGTGATTTTATTTCAAAAGGAAAAAGCATTCCCAATAAGTTTGATATACAATACATTGTTAGACCAACCTACAGTCCATACTGTCAGAGTTGAGAATAAACTTACATATTTATATATAATTCAAGGGGGGGATAGCCAGTTGAGTATGGCTGAACTGATGTGTACCAAATAAAGAAAATTGACTTTGCACTTCATGATTTATTAAAAAATTAATTTCACTGAGGTGGGGGCAGAGAGATCAGCAAAAGTATTAATAAGTTGTAGAGAATGGGCTTATGCAAACCCAAGACATCACCCATCAAGAGGCTTAACCCTGAGCGATAGGAGGCAAAAATTCACAGCCCCATTGCCTTAGTCAAATCCCAAGAAAGTCAAAATTGGTTCAGATGCTGTGCTTTGGGAATTAATTATTGTTTTCCCTTCCTCTTGTAATCTGAGAATACATTCCATGAAAGAAAGAACTGGACAGAATATTTGTTACCTGTGTCAAACCTTTTCTGCCCAGGCAGTTAAGAGGGCAAATTTCCATCTGCCTGTTGCTTTCTGACCCTCTTTCCATGAAATGTAGGTGGTGCTTTATGTCAAAGAAGAAATGAAGAGGAATGATCTTCCAGAAACAGCAGTGATTGGACTTCTGTGGACCTGTATAATGAACGCAGTTGAATGGAACAAGAAGGAAGAACTTGTTGCAGAGCAAGCTCTTAAGCATCTGAAGGTAAAAATCTTAACAAGGAATTTATCTCAGCTTTGGACCAACTGAAACTCTTTAACAGTTTAACAAATGGGTTCTAAATGTGATTTTCCATAATCAGGCTAAACATATACTTCCTAATTTTTTCCTTTTCAAATATCCCACTACCTAAGATGTTTCAGATGTAAGAACATATAAAATATCTTAGCGTATGTTCTTATTAAAAATAATATCAGAAAAATTCATTAAGTCATTATATTCAGTGTTTTACATTAAAGAGAAATATATCTAACTATTGGTTTTCTATCTGTTCAGTATGAAAAAAGAGATATCAATTTTTTTGTTTAAATAAAAAATGAATTGACATTAGAATTTGAAAGTATCTGAGTGGTCAAAAAAATACACAAAATATAGTTAAGTTGATTTTTGTGTATTTTTGAGCATAGTTACATAGATTTTTTGCTTTTGTTGACTTCTCCCTATCAAACTATATTAAAGCAAGTGGAAGATTTAGATCCTGCCTTTAGGTATAGTTTTTACACTTGAGTTGGGAAGTCAGTGTCAGAATGTAAACTAGGTGGAATATAAGTCATAGAAGATGACTCTCCGTGTTCATGAGAACAGAGAAGTACACTGTGCAGCTCAGGGAAGCCTCTTTAGAGAAAAGCGTTGAGTAGGAACATTTGAGGTGAAGGAAATAGTAGGAACAAAGCCTTCCAGATGACCTGTGAAGGTTCTGGGATGTCTGGGAAGGAGAATCCCACTCTTCTTAAGGCAGAGCCACTGACACAATAAATAGTGTACAAGGGCGTAATTCATTTTCACAATACCTATGACACATAGTGGGCCCAGCAGTTATCTTTAATACAGGCAAAGTCTCACATTTGGTGTTTTCATGGATAGAGTGAGAGAAATCCAATAAGATACTGGGATAATAAAAGTTTTTGATTCGATATAAGACAAGGGTGGCAATTCCCCCAGTGAACGTTTTCTAAACAAACCTCCGGATTATTGTTATGATTCCAGCAATGCTGGCCCCATACTTCCCACACAAGTAACGAGTTCTACCCTCTGCTTCTGTCCTAGCAATACGCTCCCCTGCTGGCTGTGTTCAGCTCCCAGGGCCAGTCAGAGCTGATCCTCCTCCAGAAGGTTCAGGAATACTGCTACGACAACATCCACTTCATGAAAGCCTTCCAAAAGATTGTGGTCCTCTTTTACAAAGGTATCCATCCATGTTGTTCCACAACTGTGTTTCTGAATTTATTGAAGCCCTTCAAGGGCAGAGCAGGGGGGGAGGCACAGAAGATCACAGCTTCTGTTAGTGGGAGAACAGCAAAGATGCCAGTTTGTCAAAGTTTTAGTGAGAAAACCATATCATGTGGAGAGGAGGCACAGGCCATGTGGGCACTGCCTCAGGAACTGAGTCCTGATTAGGCTCCTGGGCACTTCTCACTGGTGGAAGATTCGAGAAGACAGGATGAACTGGCTGTTTCTTGGGGGTTGTGAAAGAATGTAATTATATAAGATAATTGAGACTGCTTTTGAATTGTAACAATTAGCTCTAATAACAATGATTATCAAAACGCTATATATATTATGTTCAGGCCTTTTTAGGTGCCATAAAGCTGACTTGAAAATTACTGAAATAATTAGGCTTTTCACTTGGCATTTTAGTTATCTGGCCCAGCCATTCTCCTATTTTCCAAGGAAATGAGTATTTTTAGATTTTCACAGTTAGTGTCTTTTCATTGTATTTGTAAGGATTAGGTTGCCTTGACAACTGGCACTAAAAATGAATGTTAAAAGTTTTAACTGATCTCAGTCTCTATACCTACAGCATATAAAAAACGATCCTTGACTATTCTGTGGCCTAGATTTGCATAGTTTTATGGGGGGGGGGGACTACCTAAGAGACACTTCAAACATCATAAGATTCTCATCAGAAGTTATTGCAGCTGGGCACAGTGGCGTGTGCCTGTAATCCCAGCGGCTCAGGAGGCTGAGACAGGAAGATCGCGAGTTCAAAACCAGCCTCAGCAAAAGTGAAAGTGAGGCACTAAACAACTCAGTGCGACCCTATCTCTAAATAAAATACAAAATAGGATTGGGGATGTGGCTCAGTGGTTGAGTGCCCCTGTTTAATCCCTGATATACCCCAAAATTAAAAAAAAAAAAAAAAAGAAGTTATTGCAAACATAGATGGCTAATATCAGAAAAATCAAAATATAAAGTAATAACACTAAATATTTCCCTTTGATGTAGTCTTAAAATTGTCTATTTTGAATGATAACTTTGGAATCTGGTATATAGACATTTTACATTATTGCTTAGTAGCTATTCTTAAAATGTTAATTAAGCATTAACATTTACAATTAACATTAACTTTCACAATTGATTTTAATTGGCCTTTTATATTCTTCAAATGTACACATCTTGTTCACAAGTGTTTGAGTGATATTTTACTTTTGGAGACCACTAAGTTATTCAACAACAATTATATCAATAGGAGAACGTGATACCTGCTAATCTCTTTTCAGTTGGCCATAGTCAGGTCTTCTTGATTAGGGTTTACCAAATTACATATAAGATGACCCATCAGAACCAAACCTGCAGGTCATATTGCCAACTCACTTGTGATACCCAGCAGCCATGAATGAGAAGTGGGACACCTTTCTGCATTATGGTTCTTAATAACAGCTTCTGCCTGGGAACTCACTACTTTGAGTTATTTCTTCTTTTTTAGTCCTAAATGAAAAAGGGACAGTGACCCGATACTTAAAATAACCCAGAACTAGGCATCAGGAAGGGAGGCATTAGCTCCTCCTTAGGACATTCATTAACCAAGTAATTGGCTTTTAAATAACCTTAGTTGGTAAGATCAATGGCCAGTCATTACATGTTTTTCTGAATATGGAATCCCTGAAGAATGAGTGTTACTGTTTTCTTTCCATATATATATATATATATACACACACACACACACACATAATTAGATATCTCACATGCACTTGTACTCTCTCCCATCTCTTTCTCTCTCTCTCGTCTCTCTTTTTTAAATATTTTTTTAGTTGTTGATGGACCTTTAATTTATTCATTTATTTATATGTGGTACTGAGAATTGAACCCAGTGCCTCAACATGCGAGGCAAGTACTCTACCACTGAGCCACCACCCCAGCTCTCTCATCTTTTTTAACCAGTTGTTTACTTTGATATCACTGTGTCTGACAAACCCTGTGTTGCAGGAGGCATGTATTTCACCTGTATCTGAGAATCTGCATGCCTTCCTTCTGTATTTTATATGCCTTTCAGGCAGGATGAACAGTGAGTTTTAAAGCGATCCTTTTCCAACTCCAGTGAGCATAGAGATACCTGGAGTGCTTGTTAAAGCAGATTCCCCAGGGGTTCTGGCTCAGTTTGTCCAGGGTTGAGTTCAAGATATTGCGTTTTAACAAGGTTCCTACTTTAAGGAGCATTTTGTTTTAAAGCAAGTTTTCAAAAATGTCACAGAAGCCATTACTCCTTTTTCACTTTCTTCTCTCTCTCTCTCTCTCTCTCTCTCTCTCTTACACACACACACACACACACACACACACACACACATACTCCTTCCCCCAACATTTCCAGAACTTGAGGATAACAGAAATTTAGGGATATGATTAACAATGTCCCTATAACTAAATTTCGTCCAATGCCATTATAAAGATTTTTAAGATAGAAATAGTAGAATAAAAATGAATAAACTATAAATCATGCCTTTCAGCTATAAAAGAAACTGGTGATTAGTCATTTAACAAAGGTTTACTTTCTATATTAAAATCTAGAGTTTTATATTCCTAAGACAGTGGGAATAAATAGTAAATCCGCTGTTTTCAACCATCACATTATTCACTTTTAAAAATAATTTCTCCCTTCCTTTCTCCTGAAGGTAAATGCCACAGTCTCAGCATATCAGTCTATAAATAAAATTGTCTTCTCAGGTACTATTATTATCTCTCTCATGGGTTTTCTTATTTGCAGAAATTTCTTAGGTTAAATTCTGTCCCTCATTGCAAACTTTTCTAAAAGGAGTGTCTTATTCTGGTTCTATTAAAAAAAAATGTAAGAAAGAAAAGGAAAGAATAGCCTTGTTAGCAGATATTCCCAGCATTAGAGGAAATTTTTGTGTTCCTGAGTGACATCATTAATTTTAAAAATTCTGAATTTCTTAAGTTCTAAGCAATACAGTTTTAGACTAAACACCTAAATAGCTAGCATTTTTTAAAGCTTAACACTTTTTGAACCACTTTTATAATATGGTCTCTTTGATCATTATAAATACCCAAATTTTAAATTAGAACTCTACAAATTGAGAAATGATTAAATTTTCTCATCAACTTATTGTATCTGTCCATTATACATGTATTAAATATACACTAAATTTCTGATCTTATGTTAAATGCTACAGTAGCTGCCTACTATCTGAATTTCAGGATATAGAAGAAAACAGAATTGCAGTCCCCATGTCAATTGCTAAAACAAGCCTCTCACAGAGGGTGTCAATAATGGTAGGAAGACAGAGAAGGGAACCTAACTTAGGGTTGAAGCTCATTTGGAGAAGGAGAAGAGAAAGCACTCAAGGGGTACAAATAATTGCTGCAGACATAATGAGGAAGATGGCCAGATGGAAGGAAAAAATATATATTCTAATCTGAGGGAACTCAGTGCAATTGTAGAACGTCTCCTTTTGTACTATGCTTTCACTAATGTTGTATGTTGCTGGTAGACACATTTGGGAAAATCTCAATAAAAACTTAATGGGTGGGGCTGAGGATATAGCTCAGTTGGTAGAATGCTTGCCTCACGTGCACAAGGCCCTGGGTTCAATCCCCAGCACCAAAAAAAAACCAACTTAATGGTTTCCCAATTCTAATTAGCCCCACCTCTCCCCACTTTTCCTTGTTAGGAAAAAAAAAATTGCTTCTCTTCATTCCTCAACGACTTATTTTTAGATTAGATTTTTCACTAAATAGATGTTAAGTTTGTTCCTAAACTTTTTAATGTTCCGGCTTTGCCTCATAAGTTGTGCTGTGTGCTGCTTTGGTCTCTTTGTTATTAATTCCCTGGTACTAGAAATTTGTTCTTCCAGCAAGTATTTATTACTAAATTGGGTCTTAATATCTAAGAACTCAACTTGCCCTGCTTATCTGATTGTATGGGAACAGTGCATTTCATAGGCTTTACTTATCATTTTCTGTTCTTCTCATACTGTCACTGACAAGCATTTTAGTAAATGCATGGCCTCTTTCAGCCTCTGTGGGGCAATAAAACACAGGAATGCTCTCTCAACCTTCAGAAAGAAACCCCAGACAAAAGCTATCACTAAGCAGCAGACTAAGTCAGCTTTCCAAATGTTCTTTTTACACCCCCAATTCACTAAGGTATGGAGAGAAAATAGAATCTCCCTTCACATTTTTGTCACATCTTTTAATTCTATTTTGTGTGTGTGTTTTATAACATTAATAATAATAGCTTAAAACTGCATATTGTGGTTTATAAACTCAAAAATATGCTCAAAATTATCTTCCTGGCAGGGCTGCATAAATCACAAGCATCCTAAAGATAGTTCACCAATTATATAAAAGGGGCTTTACAATCCCTAATTAGTGTGCTTGAAAAATCTCTGCAAGGCAGTCCTCCACAGTCACTGTCACTTCCTGAAGCCAGGGCTGCCTGCTCCTCACCTGTGAAAACTGGCCTTTGATGTCTACTGGAAATTTCTGTCATCCTTCTGAGTAGATAATGGAGAGCAGCAAATGTAAACAGCTGAAAGACTGGAAGATAAGAGTCATTCTCTAGGACCTCTGAGTATAGCTCTTGGGGTTCCAGCCTTATGAATGAATAAATCCAGACTTCCTTTACCCAATGTGTGGTGCATTTAATGATAAAAGTAAACCGAAAAACCTGTTTTCTAAGACCGATTCGTGTCCATTTGTAGTCAATTTAGTCTCCAGTTCAATTCACGAGCCTCTTTCAAGAGCCAATTTCTTTTTACAAGGAAGGAAGAAAATAACCCTTACTGTTTTTTTCTTATGAAACGGTTAGTTTTGTTTTAAATAATATTGAATCATTTTCATAAAGCAGAATTATATTTTACTTGCAATGTGTCATTATAATAATTTGTCAACATTGCATGAATTTACAAGCATTTGTAATGGATTTGGTGCTAGTGGGGACAGAAATAAATGCTTATTATATATTTTCTATCTCATTTCTTATTCAGATCCCAAACGACAATCCATCAGAACCCTGGCAGACCATTAGGCTGTTATTTCCGTATTTGCCTTTTTTTTTTTAACATTAAATAATCTCAATGGTAACTTGAGAGTATGATGGTACATGGTAGAATTTAAAGTTTTAGTAATAGGTGCTTAACACTTGTTGTTTAAAACCTGTAGGAAATTTATCTACTGTGTTTCTGTTTTTCTTGTAATGCAGTACAAGGATAATATTACTTGTATGATTTAGGATAATGTGCTGAATGAAAGTAAATGAGTGATTTAGTGATGGCCTAAGTGTAGCACTTTGGGTTATAAATGTCTTGATCCCACTGCATACCCAAGAAGGTCATCTTTATGTCCAATTATTAGCATCATTATTGCACCCTATCTACTTTTTTTCCCCCCTTTGCCAATTTCCCCTAGAAATTAAAATCCCCTTAAACGAATAATCATTTGAGGTTGCTCTTTAATCAAGGTATCTTTGAACCTGGCAGGACACAGAGTATTCTAAAATGCTGGAACTGCTGATTCATTTGCAAAATTACATAATAACCCTACTTCCTACCAGCAAACCAATGCTGTAGATTTCCACATGCCATTACCCAGCTATATGCTTGTGTTATATCATGCCTGATAAGATGCCATCATCATCAATAAAGAAATTACTAGACTAACTGTTAGGATGTGGCACTGTGCTACTTGGAAATGAGCTTAGATCTTCTGGTAAGTTTCAGATTGGATTTCTTTTAAAATGGAGCTTTTATTCTTAAGAGATCACTTTGTACTAAGGTATAGCATCTGAGGTTCTTTTGAAATATGATAGTCAATCTGAGGATGTGGATCAGGAGTAAAGCACTTGCCTACCATGGATAAGGCCCTGGCTTTAATCCCCAACAGCACAAAAATAAGTTTAAAAATGAAAATAAAATGTGACATTCATGTAGTAACTTTAAAATCTTTGATTTGAAATTGCAGCTGATGTTCTCAGTGAAGAAGCAATACTGAAGTGGTATAAAGAAGCACACGTTGCCAAAGGCAAAAGTGTTTTTCTTGACCAGATGAAGAAATTTGTTGAGTGGTTACAAAATGCAGAAGAAGGTATGATTTCTTTCGTTTAACAACTTTGAGAGTCATGAGGCAAATAGTTTATCATTTAAATTATATACCTCTTCCACTGCTCCCCCCAGCCTTTGCTTTCTTAGACTAAAATTCTTATTCTTTTCTTTTTAATTTTCTTTTCTTTTTGAAATAGAGTCTTACTCTATGTTGCCCAGGCTGGCCTTGAGCCCCTAAGCTCAACTGATCCTCCCACACCAGCCTCCCGAGTACTGGGATTACAGGTATACACCTCTGCACCTGGCCCAAAGTTTTTGATGTATCTCCCATGTCAAACATTTTGCCTATATCTTAGTGCTCCTTCCTATATCTAGATGGTACAAAGTTGAAAAAAAAAAAAGAAAGAAAAGAAACTAATTATCTATCCTGATAGGAGACAATAAGGAAGAAATAATCAGCAGATATAAAAGAAAACAAATATATTTGGCTTTATCACATATTATAGAGCTATGTGGATTTTTATAGCACCTTTACCAGTTAACCAATATTTAAAATGTGAACACAAGGTAAAAGATAATAATGGATAAGAATAAATCTAAGTAAGGTAAAAAGTTGGCCGGGTTTGGTGGTGCATGCCAGTAATCCCAGCGGCTCAGGAGGCTGAGGCAAGAGGATCACAAGTTCAAAGCCATCCTTAGCAATGGTGAGGCACTAAGCAACTCAATGAGACCTTGTCTCTAAATTAAAAAAAAAAAATACAAAATAGGGATGGGGATGTGGCTCCATGGTCAAGTGCCCATGGGTTCAATCCCCAATACGGAAAAAAAAAAAAAAGAATAAAAAAGTTATGAATGAAAGAGTCTATATTCTTCAGTAATACATATGAGCAGGTTGCATTTTTCAGAAAGGCAACATTTCCCTTGAAGGCAAAAAGGAGTAAGAGTTTGCTATCAGCCCCCATAGATATCTGTTTTACCTAGTAACGGTAAACGGACCTGGGTCCATGACAAGGTTGGAGGGATGGTGATTAGGAATTTTTTCATGATCTTATTTAAAGGAACCTGGCCAGAAATACCTGACTTTTCTCTTGTCTTCTCTCCTAGAATCTGAATCAGAAGGTGAAGAAAATTAAAGGCCCCAGATGATCACAATACCTAGGATTATGACACACACTTTTTGATTGAGAACCTGATGCATTTGGGAAGAGAAACTTGGCTTCAGTTTTCACAAAGGAAAAAAAAAAAAATAGGATAGGCTTCCCTTGTGCAAAGGGGAAATGGTTTCTGTTCTTGTTTTGTTTTAATGGAGCCCTGAGGCATTGCTAGGACACTTGGGACTCTACCTCTCACTCACTGTCTGCTAACTTAAAGCCATTCAACCAGGAGTCCAGTAGGAATCTGAAACTCAATACTCGGCAGACTCCTCTTTTTTAGCTGTATTTTTCAGGTACTGTGTGGTGAACGCCCCACTGGTGTCTATTACAGGGCCACTTTGGTAGTTGTGTATCTGCTCGTGTATGTGATTTGACAAACCAGTTTTTTAAAATAAATGGCTTTTTAAAAATCTGCGCTTATATTCTCAGAGCTTTCATTTCTTTACACGACTTCTCACACAAGTGAATTTCTGCTGTTTTGTCCATGGTATTGAATAATTGCATTTCTTACCATCCATAAAAACTGATGTGTGCCTTTTATCATCGTTAAGTAATACGTTCCAGTTAACTCCATAGTGAAATAGAAATGAGCCTAAAATATATTGTTATATTGGCAATAACACTATGAAGTTCTTAATAATTATTATTAAACATGTAAAATATAGTTCCATACTTCTCATGTTTTCCTCAGTTCTATTTCTTCCCTATTTAAAGGGGAACTAACAGCCAGGCGCACACCTGTAATCCCAGTGGCTCAGGAGGCGGAGGCAGGAGGATCGCAAGTTCAAAGCCAGTCTCATCAATTTAGTGAGACACTAAGCAACTCAATGAGACCCTGTCTCTAATAAAATACAAAATAGGGCCAAGGATGTGGCTCAGTGGTCGAGTGTCCCTGAGTTCAATCCCTGGTACCCCCCCAAAAAAATAAATAAAGGGGAACTAACAGATGTATAGGCATATTGATGTTTGTTTATGTTTATTTATAAGTGGGTGATTTAATTCTCAAAATTATCCTGTTCTCAATAATAATATGAAACATCTGATCATTTGGGAAAGCTTACAGTTTTATTACATAAGTCTTTCTTACTCATCAAAAACCTAAGATATATGACCCAGTCCCAGTGGTGCATGCCTGTAATCCCAGCTGCTCCAGAGGTTGAGGCAGGAAGATGGAGAGTTTAAAGCCATCCTCAGCAACTTAGCAAGGTTCCAAAACAGCTCAATGAGACCCTGTCTCTAAATAAAATATAAAAAGGCCTGGGGATGTGTCTCAGTGGTTAAGCACTACTGGGTTCAATCCTTGGTACAAAAAACAACGACAAAAACAAAACTCTTTAAGATACTGCCCTAATGTTGTTAAGGCAATAGTAGTCTCCAAGAAGGCAAACATTTTATATAAAAAAGAATCAAAACAAAAAGGAGATGTTGATAACTCCAAGATAAGAATATGAAAATTTTTATTGTTAGCTCATCATCCTGTAGCAAAAGATGCTTCCTAGTTTTCTATTTGTCTTCAGGAAGAAAAAACATTTTCCCTATGACCTGACCACACACCTAAATCATCTATGTGTGAAATGTTATTTTTATTACACAAAAAAATGTGACAGGACAACTTTGGCCAGAATGACTGGCAGTCACAGAATAAAGAGTTCTATGGTACCCTAAGGTGCTTAGCATACCTCTGGATGCACATTTATATTCTTTCCTAAAATTGACCTACTAGATAACATCCCTCTTTCATATGCAAATTTTTCCTTCCCAGTCTCCCACTTCACAATGGCCCAACTTCTGTTTAATAAAAGAAACTTAAACTCACTTATCCCATTATGGTTCACTGCCCTGGGGATCAAAAGCACAGGGTACTAAACAAAGGGACAACTCTGGAATGTATTGTTCTTAAAGAAAATCTCCACTCTTATGTTCTTATGTTCCTATGACAAGTCTCCATTACCTATCTTTCCATCTAAAACTTGGAGTTATGAAATTAAATGGTATTCCCATTACAGAGTGTGTTAGTGTGCCTTTTTGGATTGAAAAAGTAAAAATTTTTAATTAAAAAATAAAATTGGCCAACTAATTTGACAAATGTCTATTACCAGTCAGGATACTCAACAGGTGTGCTTCAAAAATTCAGTCTGCTTCTCAAATATGCTGACAAATATATTTGAAGATTTTGGAAGTTATGTGCAAGTTATTTCTGTGTTGACTGTGTGAGTTTTATTGTATATGTTTTACACTTAGTTGTATATAGGGGAACATGAGAAAGTGTGAAGGCCCCTGCTTTCCAGCACATTTGACTTTGCACCATTATTTCTATGGTAACCAAGCTGAGGCCCAGGACTGTACAGGTGTCCAAAGGCTTAGAGGCAGCAAACGATGGAACTGGAAGCCCCATATTTAGACACCCACACCTATGGTCTATTTTAATAACGTTCTACACTTAAAGCAAATGTGTTTTTAAAACTAACAATTTTGGACTCAAGATGTGGCTCAGTGGTCATGTGCCCCTGGGTTCAATTCCCAGTACCAAAAAAAAAAAAAAAGAAAAATCATGCCACAGGTGTACTAAATACAATGATGACTGTTTATTGTGTTAGTAATAAAACTGGTAAATTAGAACATCTGAGAAAGGGACCAATTAGCTTATGATGAATCCTTATCAGAGACTGAGGTAGGCTCAAAGATGTTCATAATGTATCATCAAGGAAAAAATGAACAATTTTTTTAAGAAAGGAAAAATGTAACTTAACCAAAAGAATATTTTCTCTGCTAAAAACTAGGTAAGGTGTAGTTCAGTGGTAAAGTGTGTGCTTAGTGCATGAGCCCCTGGGTTTGATCCCCAGGGTCAAGGGGAAGAAAAAGAACTATGTGTATATATAATATACCTTATAGGTACATAGAAAAAGCATTTAATTTAATAATTATTGTGAATAATTGTTTTTCTTAACTATGTTTCAGGCACCGGTAGGAAGGAAAAGATGATTTTTTTCTACACATTTATTTGTATTTCTTTAAAAAAGATCATCCAATATCTTCATAATTTTAAAAATCCTTATATATTTAAAACATTAAAGAGCTTTTAGAAGAAACAACATTGAACAGTATTCACCCATAGAGAAGACCATTTATAATATTCTTATATTTGTAAAAAGATGGTTTTGCTTCATTCTTTAAAAATTCAAGTCCTTTTTATACCAGGTTGTTTGTTGGGGGCGGAGGTCTGTTTGTTTGTTTGTTTGTTGTACTAAGGATTATACTCCAAGGGCATTTAATCACTCAGCTACATCTACATCCCTTTTTAAACTTTATTTGTTGAGACAGGGTATCACTAAATTGTTTAGGGCCTCACTAAGTTGCTGAGGCTGGCCTCAAACTTTTGATTCTCATGCCTTAGCCTCTCTAGTAGCTGGAATTGCAGGAATGTACCAGTACATCAAGCTCTATACCAGTTTTCTACCCTGTTATTTAATAGTATTCTGTAACATTTTACCATATCAACACAGTAACTATTCTTCAAAAACATGGTTTTTAAATGTAAATAATTGTTCTTGGTATAGATGAGGCATAATTTTATTATTCTGTTCTGTAATATGGTATTTTATAACATTACTTTTAAAAAATGCCATTTAAAATATTCTTTACATAAATTATTCATTCATGGTTATTAAAACGAATGGAATTTGGGTCAAAAGATTTAAATATAACATGATCCCATTCTCTGAATTTTCATTTGTACATTTGAATGCATTTAATTTCCATTTGGTGCATATTTTGAAATGATTATTTCAGTGAGAAATGGAAAAAAAAAATTGCCAGGCATGGTGGCACAAGCCTATAATTCCAGTGAGGCAGAGGATCTCAAGTTTGAGGTCAGCCTACACAACTTAGCAAGATCCTCAGCAACTTGGTAAGACAGTGTTTCAAAATACAAAATAAAGAGAACTGGGGGTGTAGCTCAGTGATAAAGCATCACTGGGTTCAATCCCTAAGATCCCCCTCAAAAAAAGAAATGAAAAATTAATTTGTTATTACAACCTCTAAAAATAGGAAATTATGGAACTTTCTGAATTCAGCAGTTATCAAATTATAAAATTTTGGAGAGGCAGATGAAAGTAAAAATCTTTTATCTTCAAGCCAAGAAACCAACAATCATAAAACACATCAGGTCCCACCTGGTCCCAGGGTCGATGGTTTGAGCCAATGTGTGTCTCATTACTACTTACTAACACACCTCCCAGCCCAGGCTCCTCAGTGATCTGACCTCACCTTCTCTGAGCTAATGGCAATTATTTCCTTTGCTGTCTGTACTTTAGAAAAATGGTGGACTTCAAGGTCTCTCCTGGTAGATACCCCTGCACTGCTATGGCTCCTACTTGTGGAACAGATGCTTGCAAAATATTTTTTTTCCCATGAAAAACAAGTTTTAGAGCTGGTCTTCACATATTTAAAAATTTCTACACCTAGATTTTATGTGGTTTTTACCTAGTATTAATACAATACATGTAGAAAGATACATCTACACCTTGAATGGAAACAGAACACACCTATTTGATCAGCAAATGAAGAAATCGAACGGAACTCCCTCCTGCCTCCTGCCAATCCTAGTCTCCACCCTCAAGGAAAATTCTGACCACATAGATTCCTTCTGCCTGTGTTTGAAATGGATGCAGTATTATTTTGTTAATACCTTCTTTCACTCAACTTTGTTTTGCTTTCTGTGGTTCTCTGTGCTTAGTTACTTTCTGGTAATGATTAAGCAAACACGGTTGATCTACCAACAATAATGTCTAGCTCTTTCAGCAAGAACACATGAGTCATGAAAGCATTGTTTTTAATGAACCAGAGGGTTGCCCTGTTCTCTTCTGGCACAGAGCATAACTCCTAAGCACGTTTCTGTTCTTCGGAGATAATTTGGGATCACAGGCTTTCCCTCTACTAGTCAGTACAAAAAGAAAATGATCTTGGCTTTCTCTGAAAGAGTAGTCACATTTTAATGAGGCAAGATAGATTTTAAAAAGAAATCATAGATCACTGTAGCTTCAGTTTGTATGTCTTACCACATTTGACCTTTGCTGCTAAGTACAGGAGAGATGGATTTAAGAACTAGTTGATTTGAGCTTGGAACCACCAGTGTGCCCTTTAATTTGCTGTTTAAGTAATTAGCAAATCACTTAACACTCGTATTTATTTCACTTAATTATACAATGAGGATCTGGACAAGATTAGTCCTTAAACTCAGACCGTGAACTATAGAGAAAAGTATGCAAAACTATTTCCATTAGATTCTTAGACCAGTGACCTAACAAAGGTTAAAATTGTTGTGCCCCACCCCAGGGTCTGTCCAGCAGGGTCTAAGGATGTGCATTGCTAACAAGTTCCCCGGGCAGTGCTGATTCCTCTGTATCAGGACCACAC